TCAATACCTCTAGATATAACTAATAGCCTTATTATAATTAACATTAAATGTTGAATGTATTGGTAGAATATTATTCCATCATTCAAATTCCAGCTAAAGCTCCCCTACCTAAACAACTGGATGAACATGCACCTACCGTGGGAGATAAAAAAGGTAGAATGCTATCTTTTAAATGAGAGATGATCAAATCTTATCTCTGAAATACTTGAGATATTGAGAGGCAGTACTTATTTTCTAGAAATTAAATTCATTTAGGTATTCATTCATTCATTCTCATGATAATCAAGCTACCACATGTAAACTCTTTAACCTTTTGGCACTTATATTTTAAGCACTTCCTGGCTAATTTTGTGAATGACAGGACACACCATTATCTTCTCCAAAGAAAATACTTCAAATACCAATTATCTATATCTACAAATAGTTACTAAATATGACCTGTCCTATTTAGATCTATTTTTGGGTATCACAAATAAATGCAGCTCCAGTTATATACCCAGTAGTTACTCATCAACTATTCCTACATCGTTTCAATTTAAAATTGGTTTCCTCCTATTTCCATGAGATAATGACTTCTGTTAGTATTTTGATCTGAATTTGAGTTTTGTGTGTTAAATGAGAAATAACATATCTGATGATGAATCCTTACTGTATATTTCTTTTATGAGTCAAGTACTATATTTATTTCATGAAGTATTATACTAAGCTCAGGGGGGAAAAAAAAAGTCCTGACACCCTATTTATAAAAGGAAATTTGTCAAAAAGTCCTTTATGAGGTGAGGGTGAGAGAGCTATTTAGTAGATACTTTTCTCAGGTGATAAAGGTTTTCTGCTGATAAGGGTTTTAATTTTTGACACTTCAATTTTGATTCTTAAAAATTCCACATTTTGCTTTTATTATGATTAATAAAACTCTTTAATGAAAAAGTCATCATAATGGTTTTTAGAAAAAGCAAGGAATTAGGTTCTGGGAAAACAATACTTCATCGGCCTGGATGTTAGAGAAAGTAATGATAGACCTTTGCAAGAAAGAATAGAATTGCGGGGGAGGGAGGGAAGTATGTGGAACTATAAAGACACACTGGGGATAGAAGAAATGACCTTTTGAAATGCCTAATCAATACGGCCCAGGTCTGAGTGCTAATAGATGACAAAGCAGGCTGAGAGTGGTGTCACCTGGCTCTCCGGTTAAGAACATGGGATCCTAGTTGCACCATGTATTCCTAAAGTGTCTGTAGAAGCGGAGCAACTGCAGCTTTAAGGAATCTCCACCCTCCACTGCTTTGAAGGGCCTCAATTGGGATGCCAGCAGAAGGTACCCTAGTAACAGGGCGAGCCTCAATGCCACCAACCCAAGCCCTGAACCCGACCAGGAGCTCTCTGTGGCCATCGCTTTCCCCTCGATCCCGCCTACTCCTCCTCCTGGCCCGCCCATATGCCAAACTGAGCTTAAGTCTGTCAGCTGCTTCCAACTTTCCAGCTCCGCACAGAGTACGCGGGTCTCCGCAAACTTCCTGCGCAGAAGGCGCGGGGCGGCGTGAGTGCGCGCGCGCGCGCCAGGGCCTGTCCCCAGCGCCCCTTTCCCCAGCAGCCGGCACTTGGTACGTCCGGGCGGTTGGCGTCTTCCGAGGCTCCAGCTAGGGGCGGGCTTTTCAAATCTTACTTTTGGAGGAGTGGCGACGCTTCGGGCTGTGGCGCTGGAGATGGAAGATCAGGCCCTGAGAGATCCGGGACGTGGCCAGGCGGGGCTCCCCGCGCTGCAGGTGAGTGAGGAGGGCCTGTTGTCGGGTTCTCACGCAGTGGTTTCGTTTGTGTCGGGCAAGTTCCCACTCCGCGTCTCGAAGTCAGCTGTGAGCAGAAACAAAGGGAGACCGCGCACACAGTTCCTCGGGGAAGTGATGCCGAGCCCGCTGCAGGGTTTCCGGGCGCACCTGTCGGCTGCCCTCCCATTCCCTGGCTGAGTTTGCTGTGGGACTGGGTTCCCCGGGATTTTCTAGACGCTCCCCCAGAAGCCAAGTGGAGAACGGTTTTGCTTCTTACTAAATTTTAATAGAAAGCTCAATTACCAGAGCTATGTCTGCAAACAATGTGAGTTTGCTGGGGTACAATGGAGAAGCAGTGAGCAGCCTCTCAACTTTAGAAAAAGTTGATTCTGATGGTGTTTTGCACAAATAGAAAGGAAAGGAAGTGAACATTTTAAGAAAGAAGTTTGATATTTGCCTCATAGACATGAATTCACACTCGTAAAGTTGTTTTAGAAAGCTGTTTACTTTAAGGCCAGGCACTCAAATGGTACATGTACTTTCTGCTCTAAAATTTTTAGTGTTTTTTTTTTTAACACTGAAGTCTTTAATCAGGAGCTTCACTTTCATTTTAATCTCCACATTTTACGTACTTTTAAAGTAGGCTAACCCATATGAAATTGCCCGATTTGTAGGTCAAAGTGTTAGATTATTAGCAATTTCACCTGGTTCAATCCAGTACTTTTGCTTAGGAACCTGGAATTTATTTATTCAGTAGATACAAAATTGTTAGGAAGTCGTCATTTATGTGAACTTTAAAACAAAGCATTAAGGTTAATGCACAAAGCAATTTAGGTCCTTTATCAAGTAATTTATGTCGTTTTATGTTTTATTTCAAACATTTTGATGTAAGTAATTCTGTCTCTCCTATCCTATCCTATGAGTGCGTTGGCTATCCTGATTGTGATTTTTAGTGAAGTGGTGATCTATTGAGGTTCTTATACCTACTATATATAGGTGTTGGTGTAGTCATTCAGGTATTTTTATTGAGCTATGTACAGCTGTAAATTTTAAAATGATAACAACAACAACAAAAAAAGAGAGAGACTAAGGTCATGAAAGAGGTTTAGCTGCATGGAATGAAAGTAAATATTTAAATGTACATAAGAGCTGAATTTAATTCATATGTGAAAACTAAAATACCTAATTTTTTAGGCAGCAAGAAATTCAGATAATTGAGTCCTGGTATTCCTTTTGTTTGAATCTTGGGGGAAAAAAATTGCAAAATCATAATAGGTTTCAACCGAACAAGAATATCGAGGATTAGTTATTTGATGAGTTATCTTTTACTTTAATGATATTCCCTGCCATTTAGTAGGGATCAGACCAAATATTTTGAAGTAGTCAGTGATTCATTAAATAACCTCTATTCAAACTTTGGAGTCATCTGTGACTACTCACATCATAGAATATTGGGTTTTGAGTCAGCTTAAGGTGAAAGCCAGCTCTCTTTGTTGTGTAACCTTGCTTAAATTGGCTGCTTTTTAGTTTCTGTTGTATACTGAGTGTAATGGCTTATCCCTCAAACCTGTTGGAATTTGAACACCTCTTTAAAGTACTTACCACAGTAGCCAACACTGAGAACTTGACTGAGAAGTGACTGTTATAGTTATTATTTTTTGTCCCATTCATTTGAGCAGTTGGGGCAGTCAAGTATTTTCTTAAAAATATTTAAGCTTTTGAAATCTTAATGAAAACAAAATTCAAGAAGGAATACTGTTTTGTGAAATGAATAAACACATACAGAAAGGTGAATTTAAGCTTTTTCTCCAATTTGAATTCCTCCAAATGACCACTGTTAACAATTTCTAGAACTTTTCTCTTGTAGATAAACAATTCTTAAACTACAGACTTTTAAGAAGAATGAATACTACATTCTGCAATCTTTTTTTTGTCATCATAGTCACTTAGCCGTATCTGTTGGGGGCTGAGAAGTTTCTATCTGGATTATTACATTTGGTTTACCAATAGCCCAACTTCATTTTTTACTTTTTAGTTGAGTGCTTAGTTCCAACACTAAGGCCATTTCCTTTGTGCCATGTTAGTTCTTAAAACATGATGGGTTTCTGTTTTCAATAGAATCTTGTTTACCACTTTCTAGTATCTTTCTTTTCATTCTTAATCTTGCCCTGTCCATTTATTCTTTAGCCTAACTTGAAATATCTACAATATCAGGAAGTGCCATAGGCTTCTGTTTAATTTGATAATAAGCAGACCCTTGTTCAGAAAATTGAAGAATAGCAAGAAGATGCCTACTCCCTCCCATTTACTTTTCTTCCTGAAGATTTGCATTCAGACACTCCTAGGAAAAATGAATATAGGGAGACATGCTTTTATCATTGGCCTTAGTCAGTCAGAGGCAGCAGCATTTAGAGTTTTTAGCTACCTACTCTTTCTTTTTGAAAGTGCACAGGTGTCCTCATCCCCTCATCACATGAGCATTAGACATGCTAAACGAAGACAAAGTCCTTTGACTCCATAAATCTTAACCTGGCTAGAGCTACGAATACTTGACTGGTAAGATTTCTTCTGTGTGTAAAGTGCACATGCATATTAAAATAAGTTGCTTCAAAATCATTCATATACTTAAAATTCATCCTGCTTATAACAGCCCTCCCAGATCCAGTTAGCTCACAGTAACCTGAGACCTATTCAATGGAGGCAGGGTCTAACTTTCCGTGTAAGTAAATTTGACTGGATTAGGGACAAACCAACTAAGTGTGTAAAAAGACAAATAGTCAATATTTTTGGTTGTACAGGCCACATTTTGTTGAAATTACTGGCTCTGCCATTGTAGCTTAAAAGTAGCCACAGACCATATAAATGGACTTGAATGACTGTGCTCCATTTAACCTTTATTTACAAAAACAGGCATTGGCCAGACCACTGTTTGCGGAATCCTAGTTGAGAGTATTCTAATAGTAACATTTAATAGATATATCACATATACTCAGTGAATGTTTAATTTTGCAAGTAAGATTAAAAAAAAAAAAAGCTGACTTTACCTTTCCTTTTCCCATTATTTCCCTAATCACATAATTTTATAAAGTCTTTATGGATAAGTGATCTCCCATTTGCTAAATGGAAACCCAGGAAGCTCAATCTGTTCCTTAATGTGACTGTGGCCATCTACTGGTTCCTTACGTTTGTTGCAGTTTTCCAGATTGCTGTGGTACTGTAAATTGATTGTGCGTTGATTTACTAGAGAAACTTGAAACAAATATTCATGCTTAACTTCCAGAGATGCTAATTGTGTTAGGGTAGCTATTAGAGTTAGTAGTACTTTTTTTTTTTTTTTGAGTTAGTAGTACTTTTATAAAACTCTTTCTCTTTGCCCCAGGTAATTCTGATGTACAGTCAGATTTAAGAACCACTGTGCTGGTTCAACTGACTGCCACACTTGTAGCATATAAAATTCAAAAGTGTCACTAGATAGTATTTGTTGATATTTGAGTTGGTGGTTTAAAACTATTCATTCTAGCTGCAAGCTGTTCCCTGTAGGTTCTCCAATGCTAGCCAGCCTTTTAGAATTTTTATTTCTATAAACATGGATCACATAGGTAGTTCTTATAATTCATTACTAATTACATTACAGAAGACTATCTTGTGACAGACAAGCCATAAAAAGATGAATTGGAATTTTATGTATTAAAAAAGCTAGCGAATGATTTCTTTCATATAATACACTAGCTTTGAGTTATATAAGGTTTTTAAGTAATGACTAAATGATGTAATTACAGAAGGTAATTAAACATTGATTATCTGCATATGAATAGTAAATTTGATTGATATAGATAGTTTAGTTAAATTATCCATTGCAGTTTCTTCTTTTACTGTTTACTGTCTTAACTTTCAGTTTTTGTTTTGAAAATACTATCATAATGTCTGAAACTTTTGATATTAGATACCATTCAAATTTTTGGATATATGTTAGTCCACATAAAGGTAGATTATAGCATTAATTTTTTACTGCAGAAACTAGGATGGTCATTTCATTTGTAGAAATAAATGTAATGGAACATTATTACATATTTGTAGTAAGTACAGAGTACCTTAGGGTTTATAATTTTTAAGTCATCTGTGAATTAAATCAGAACAAACATTTCAGTTTATAGAATTTTAATGTTACATATGAAACATGTATGCAGACTTAGATCATTAAAGATCATTGCTTGAAATAAAAGATTTTCGAAACTAAAATGATCTGATAGTTTTTTTGGTAGAAATTTGTAGCTTGTATTTTTTAAATTTTTATTTTAATAGTGTTTCCCATGTGTAAAGTAAACTTTATATTAATTGTTGTGTACATGTGAGATAGTTTATCTTCTTTCTTTTGCATGTGTCTACCTAGTTTTTCAAACACATTTTTGAAAAGGCTTTCTTTTTTCCAGTAGTATTGACTACTTTGCCATAGACAGACTATCCATATAAGTTTTTGTCCTCTCAGTTCTAGACTCTCATTTCTATTCCATTGGTCTGTGTATCTATTTTTGTTCTACCAGTGTGCTGTTTTGATCACTATAGCTTTATAGTATATATTGAAGTCTGGCAATGCGAAACCACTCATTTTTGTCAGGATTATTTTGGTTAGTTGGGGTATTTTGTGGTTCCATGTGAATTTCAGTAATGATCTATTTCTTTGAAGAATGTCACTGAAACTTTGGTGGGAATTGTATTGATCTGCATATTGCTTTGGGTAAAATGGCTATTTTAACAATGTTAATTCTAAACCATGAGCAGGGAGAACTTTCTGTTTCTGTTTGTTTTCCATTTCTTTTAAACAATTTATAGTTTTCATTGTAACACATCTTTTGCATTCCATTAATTTTATTTCTAGCTATTAGGCCTTTTTGATGCAATTATAAATGTGTTTTGATTTTTTTTCCTCTTCTAGTTTATTGTGTATGGTAATGAAGTGATTTCTGTAAATTGATTTTGTAATCTGCCACTTTGCTGTACTGATTTATTGTTTTAAATGATTTACTAGTTTTAGGTAACTTTTTAAAAAAGATTTATTTATTTATTTATTTATGCATACAGAGGAGTATAGGTCAGAGTTGCAGGGATGGTGAGAGGATTCACCAGACAGAGTGGGGAGCAAACAGGCAGGTTGTCCAACTACACCATTGAGGGGAGCAGCGAACGAGACAGGCGAGGTCTGCCACACCCTGTGTATCACCTCCTGGACTGGGAGTCCAACTTGCACTGAAGCAGCTGCTGCGAGCTTGCAGTGCTGTGCCCTAACCCCTTGTACCACTAGGAAGGGCCAGTTTTTGCTAACTCTTAAAACAAAGCAAATATATCCAACTGTGTCTGTTACAGATAGCCAAAGTCAAGATATTTTCTAAGCCTAATGCATTCACTTTAAATGCCTCTAAAATTTTACTTATACTGAAATTTACTTTGCTAAAAGTTTGTACAATTTAGTAAAATTTACTTTGCTAGGATGCTAAGATGCTCCCGAAATTTTATTTATACTTCTTACCATGGAAAATAACTTTTTTTTTAAAAAAGATTTATTTATTTGTGCATACAGAACTGGGGTACAGGCCAGAGATGCAGGGGCAGTGAGAGGATTCACCAGAGACAGCAGGGAGCAGAACAGGCTGGCTGAGGAATTACACTGCTGAGGGGAGCAGCGGGCAGGTCAGGAGAGGTCTTTATATTCTCTCTGTATGTATATAAACATGTTATTTATGCCATTTATTTATGCCGTTTATTAGGAATGAAAGAAATATTACAATTTGGGTTTCTCTTTAAAATGCTTTTCCTTTTTTTTACTTTTAAGGACTGCAGCATTCAAGAAAAAATTGATTTAGAAATTCGAATACGAGGAGGAATATCGAAACTCCTTTCTCTGAGCACTCAGAAAGACCAGGTTTTGCAGGCGGTTAAGAATCTCATGGTGTGCGATGCTCGAATCATGGCTTACACACTGGAGCTACAGAGATTAGAAGAGCAGAATGCAAATCAAACAAGAAGATGGTTAGTAACACAGTTTGCTTTTTTGACTTTTGATGTAATTAATTATTTGAATTGTATTAAAAGCATGATATAATTTCATCTTAAGGTCAAATATTAAATCACCAAAGATTAAAGAAGAAAACCTCAAAACACTGAAGTAGCCTCTGAAATCATAAACATTTGACAATAGATTGTAGAGTAAACTCCTTAAGGAAATAGTTTTCAGGAATGTATTTTAGAATATGTCAGTCTGATATTATTTTGTTTGAAACTCTTTGGGTCTCTTGCACCAGGATGTTTGTTTTCTGGATTGAGGTCATTCTAAGCAACTATTTCTCCACATAAGTTTTCTGTCTTTTCTTCTGGGATGCACATGCTATGGATTTTTTTTCTTTAGGTTATTGCAAAGAGCTTATACTCTTTTTGCCTTATTGTTTTGTTTGTGTGCTCTCTGACTCTGTGTTCAGGTTCACTAATTCTCTCCATTACTTGTGTTTGTTTTCTTTTGATCCTTTTGGACTTTTTTAGTTCCTTCACAGTATTTTTTAGACACATTAATTATTATTATACCAGTCTAATATTTTCTCTGTCTTTATTGTGTTTCTTATTTTTGATTTGTTTATGATTTGCCCTCAGTTCTGCAAGCATGGTTATAACTGTTACCTTAAGCTCCTCTTTCAGACTATTCTGCAGTTCTGCTAGATTGTGAATTTTCTTGAGTGTTTTTGTTTGAGAATTTGTGATATTTCTTTTGTTTCTTCATTTTGTTTTTATGGGTTGGAATAGGGATCTCCTTTTTTGTTTGTTTGTTTGTAATAACAAATTGACTTGATACCCTCCTTACAAGAAACTGGGTATAGTTTTAGGATTTTACCTAGGATCATTAGATGCCTATTGTTTCAGTGACTGAGACCTCTATACCTGGGAAGGTGACCAGAGCACTAGTCCCGGTAAGGGATAATAGGTAAGGGCCAGGGCAGTAGGACACTGAATGATCACTGCCTGTGAGCTTCAGGATTTCAGGATTCTTGCATGCAGGGATCCAGTTGTGTGATGAAAATTCACAGAGGCCCCCTTCTCTAAGCCAACTCCTTAGTCAACATGTCACAAACAATCTCATGCCAGACTCAGCCTCTGCACTGTTTGCACAATAGATGTAACCCTAAGTGGAGATTATAGTTGAGACAGGGACACAATCTGAGAATTATTCTTTTGCCTTTCAAGAACTTGTTCCTGTTTAATTAAAGTCCAGGTGCTTCAGATTCTGGTTAGTGGCATTGGCTGATTGTCTCATCTTTGGCCTTGTTTGAGGGGTAAAGCAGGTGTTTTGGTATCAGGGCCTTAGGCTACAAGTAATAACCTCTTCTGTGAGATGACATAGATGATCTGAGTTCTCTCAGACTGCTCTGAGTCCAGCTGTTCTTGTTTAGGAGCTTCAGGTTCAAGTGAATACCTCCTGCAGTTCTGCATCATCTTGGATGGTAACTTTTGCACCCCTTCTCCAGGATAGTCCCTGGTTTTTAAAGTCCTTAGGGGTGGATATGTGCTTTTGAGCAGGGGATTAACCTCAGAAGGACTCTGATGGCAGCTGCTTCCCACTCATGTACTTTACTACTCTGATGTTGCTTTAAGCACCAGTTCAGTTTACCTGCTTCTTCCAATGTGCCATCGACCTTAGTGTATACCATAGTCATGAGTTTACTTTTCAAGAGTTATTTAGTGGTGATTGGTTATAAATATGTAGAGGTGGTAAGCCTGGATTTTCACTCTGCTGCCATCTAGTTGGGCACTAAGAGTTAGAAATACTATGTAAGTGTTTCAGAGGGCGTTTGGTGACTATGTTACTAGGACATGAATCTACTTGACTGACTGTCCCTTGTCTCCCTCCCCTCAGAAAGCCCTGTTACTATCCCAAGCTGCTATATTGAGTTATGATAGAGCCTTTCTTTAATTTCATTGTTTATGTAGCAATTATTTATAGTTTTATTTTCAGCAAGGCGAGGCATGATAAGATGCATGTTTGGAAAGGTTTATTTAGCAGTAGGGAGTTGAGACAAAATAATTGAATAACCAATTTTTAGGAAAACATTTAAGAATAGGCAGCCATAGAAGTGATCTACTAATGTAACTTTTGGCAAGAGAAATGAAGAGATAAAACTAGTGCACGAGTTTCAGGTTTCTCTAATTGATCACTAACAGTGCTCCCTGTACAGAACTGACCATTCTGTAGACAGTTTCAGTTATTTTTCAGTTTATTATGAATTTATTAAAGTAGAGAAATAATCTTACTTCATTTTACAGTCTTGTAAAACTGGAGTTCCAGGAAAGAATTAGCTTTAATGACCTAAGGCATTCATTGTATACAATGGCTTAACTTGAGAGAATTGAGAAAACATCATTCTGTGGTTTAGATGAGGAACCCTAGTTGAGAAATCAATGATAATAATCCAATAACTTGTTCTTTTTGTTAACTACATATCTGAAAATACTGGTAAAAATTAAGTGTTCCAATGCATAATGCCCTAATAATGTAACAAAATCTTTGGTCTCGTACAAAATTGTGTGTAGTTATGAAACACAGTTTGGTATATGACTTTTTTTTAAGGTCTAAATTTGAATAATTCATAATGGAGTCATTGTGAATCAAAATAAGATACAGAGAGCCTTCTCAGTTGCACGGTCAGAAGATAGTGTGAAGGGTAGAGAGGTGAGACAGCCAACTGCCTCAATTCAGAGTATTAAATTGCATGTTTACAACAATCTGTCAGCTTACCATTCTTTTGACTGGTAAACTAGACTATCTCCCGATCTTTTTTCTTGAATATTATTGCCAAATATATCTACTTAAAAAGACTTTTTAGGTTAGTCCACTTGTTAAAAAACAGCTAATAATGATCTCCATTTACTAAAATTTGTTAGATAGGTGTTCCATTATTGCATTACAGGATCTTTGGGGTCTGACTGTTTTCATAGACTTTATCTTTCAAATTTCTTCTTTACAAATTTAATTAAATGCTTGATCTGTATCTCTAAAACAGTTCTTGAATTTTCCTGTCTTCAGAGCCTTTGCTCATAGTGAAGTACTCTATCTTCCATTCTCACTTAACAAGACCTCTTTTGTTCTGCAATGCCCTACTTACATAGTCAAAGTTTCCTTGGTGATGCTATTCAGAAAATTATGTATATTTTTTCCCTTTATGCTCCTGGTAAGTACTCAAAAGATGATTGTCTCTTCTTAGTTTTAGTGGCGTATGAAAGCATGAATACCTCACTATAACATACTGTATTCTGATATAGCCACTTGCAAACACATATTTTCATTTGAATTATACACTGTTGGAGGCAAGGGTAGAGTTTGGTTCTTACTGCTTATTAGTGAAAGAGAGATGATGTCACCACTCATTTCTTAGGGTTTTTATGAACAGTTAGTGCCTGAAGCTTAAATGCAGCTCAACTAATGTTGGTTCTATTCTTCATTGTGTCACCCAAAATACCTAATACCTCTGTTTCAGTTTCTTGCTGTCTACTGCTGGCTCTAGCTAACCATGTTCCAGATTGTCACTTACTGTTCTCTACTCTCTTCACCTTTTTCATCTTTTTATTATGACAGTTCAAATGTAAATTTTTAAAAAGAATGTGGTAAATACCTTGTAATAGATCACTGCATAGCTTGTCATATATGCTCACCCACTGCTTTCTTTGTATATACACATAAATGCATGACTAGACATGCATTTTTTTATGTTGAATCATGTGAAACTAAGTTGTAGATTACATGCCACATACATCTTAGTAGTTTAGTGTATAACTCCTAAAAGCAAGAATATTCCTCTGCCTGTAAAATACTGAAATTAATTCCACAATAACCACATAATATTCTATATTCATTTTTGCCTAACTGACAAAAGATAAGCCTTTGTAACTTTTACCAAAACTAGAGTTCAAAATTCATGCAGTACATTTGTTTGTCTTTGTAGTTTCCTTTAATCATTTTACCTTTTTTTTCCTTTTCTTTTCAATAGTTTATTTTTCCATCATTTTGTGCATTTTTCCATCTCAGTTGTAATCACCTGGGGCTTCCCATCACCAAATCACCTATGTGCCATCACCAAAGTCCCATGCATTTCCTTCCCCTCACTCTTTTTTGATCTCATTACCCACTCCACCCCCATAAAATGTCTCTGGAATATAACTGTTCGTTATTATTATTTTCTTGCCTCACCCATATACTCCTGCTGTGAATGAAACCATTCGGTATTTTTCCTTTCCTTTCTGGCTTATTTCACTAAGCATGATCTTTTCCAGCTCCATCCATGTTGCTGCAAAAGACATGTGTTTATTTTTTTTGGTTGCTGAGTTATATTCCATTGTATCTATGTACCATATCTTTTTAATCAATTCATCCACTTTTGGGAACATTGGGAAATATATAATATATATATTATATTGTTTGGATGAAGCTTCCTCAGTATGAATGCAGTTTTCTTCATATTTTGAATATTTAACAAGCTTTTCATTATTGTCACTACTAAAAGACCACCATAACTGGATATAAAATACTTGGCCAACATTTTCATTTTTGGAGATTTTTTAAAAAGATTTTTCCATTGGTTTCATGTTATCAACAAATTTAATGTCAAGTGTTCTTTCCTCTGTAAGTGACTAATTTATAACAGTCTTTGTGTCAGGAAGCTGAATATGTATATTAAGGTCTGATAATTTTGCTGAGATATGTCTAAGGCACAGAGAGACTCATCTAGGGCCCTTTCATTTTTAAGATAATGTCTTATTATTTTAGAAAGATTTATTTTTATTTAAAGCATACAGATTATAGCATATGTTCTCTCGTTATTTTAATTTTCTTATCTAAGAACTCCAGTTGCATAGAAGTTGGATCTTCTTTGCCTGTCTTCTATATCTTATCATTTTTCTCTTTGATGTTTTAAATTTTTTGTTTTGGTTCTTTTTCTTCATCATGCCTTTAATATATTTTTAGTTATGTCACTCCATCGTTGGGCACC